AATAGTGTGCATAGTACAAATGAACTAACAGCAGCTTGTTCTCCATTGGAATTACCGGACATTGTTAACTGTCTTTCTAAACTCCTACAGTGATCAATAATGTATGGCCCATCTGCGATGTGAACATTTAAATAGTTATAATCGAAAAAACTAAGTCTAAGATATATTAAAAAATTCAGAGCGCTTCAAATAAACGGTAATACCAAGTACTAATGTGGAGCAAACAATTAAAAACACCATTTTCCTGTTCGCTAACAATACTCCGAACACAATAGTCATGTTAACCAATCAACAAGTAGATTAGGTAACGCCCTAAATTTTGTGTACGTGTCTGTCTAACAAGCCAGATGGTCATCTTACAATATTGAGTGCTATTTAACAATAAGAATATGATCAGTTAAACGAAGAAAATTAAAGTCAAATTATTAACTGCTGAACTGACCAAAGTTTATAAGTGTAAAACATCCTGGTTTATGTTCATGAAGTACTAAAGATATTGAGCGACATGAAGCAAATTTTTCTTTTGAATCAAGAACTAAATGACACCACTTACTTTACAGTCTTTAAGCTTTTTTTCTGACCTTATCCATAATGCGTAAACATCCATTGACCCTAAACCAATTTTCATTATTTGCTTTACATCTCGTTAAATGGGAAACTAATGTCAAATGTTCGTGATGCATCCTATGTTAATGATTACTGACTGAATCGGATGTATACACGTCCGGTATATGTTTAGGTCAGCATATGCTGACTGATATAGGAGACCTTTGTCGCGTAACATACCTCAAGAATCCTTATCATTGACATATCTCCCCCGTATAAAAGATTGATTCATTCCAAATATATAATTAACTGTTTAAGTAAAATAACATTCTATTCCAGCAACATGTTTAACACACACACACACAGAACAACCACCTAGCACTTTTAATGAACAGCAAGCAAAACTGGTACAAATCAATGCTGTCGTTAGGAAACGAGTACTAGGTAACGATGGCAGATCAATCGATGAAGTGGTGAAACTTCATCAGTTGAGGTGGTTGGGACATGTGTTACGTATGACTAACCACCGACTGCCTCGACGAACTTTGTTTTGCGGTGTAGAAGTAGGTTGGAAGAAAGCTAGAGGCGGCCAAACCAAAACATGGCACAAATCCATGAAGTCACTGACAAGTGAACTGAGTCATGTTGGTAGATGTAGACTACCTGGTTGGGGTCCGCGAGACGAAAGTCATCAACGGTTAGAGACCTTGAACGACGTGGCTCAAAATCGTTTGCAATGGCGTAGGTGCATCCACTCTTTGAGCTCTCTCAAATCCTAATCTTCTGGAATCGTCAGCACCTCTACCTTTGTCTTTCTAACTTTATCTCACTGAATTATATTTCTTGAATAATATCTTCGAACCCTAGTCTTCTTTATTAACATTAATACCTCTACCATCTTTATCACTATGGGGATTTGATTTGACATTTGCGTCTCTGTGCTCACGTGGTATGGCAACATGAACTTATGTACATACGTACGAAGTTCTACGTTGCAACTGACTGACTGGTACAGATTCTACAAAGATTCTGTTTTTCTTACTTTCTATCTATCCAAGCACAGAAATAATAAGAGGAAATGGTAAAATTCAAATCATCCATTTGGAAAGAGAATGAAAAAGCACAACACCAACATCAACAACACCCGCTTCTTGCTTTGTTTTGTTTTAATTTTTCTCGTTACGTACACAGTGTACATGTATGTATAGAGAGAGAGAGAGAGATATGTGCACAAGTAATACAAAAATGTATATATATATATATATATTTGTAGATAATATTATAGAAAATCGATATGAGAAATAATCAGCATTCATTAACACACACACACACACACACACAAAAGAAGAAAAACAAATCGGCAATAGTAGTAGTAGTAATAGCAATAGGTGTAGTGTAAACCACCGTTTGACAGAAAACCATTAGGAATTAAAAGAAAAAACATAAACCCTATTATGTATGTATATATATTTATTACTAACTAACTAACTGACTGACTGAGAAGTGAGATGATGATGTTAGATCGATTGTTCATTTTACACCTATACAGATACAGATACACATATACACATGTGGAAAAAAAGAAAGAGAAAAAAATTATATGTATAGATATTTATGTGCACACTCTTCTACACAATCATCATTAGGCACACACGCACACACACACTTGCACACACACACACAATTGTAACCGAGAATTTAAAAAACAAAGATGATAATGATTAGAAAAAAAATAGTGAGAAGAACAGAAAAAAAAACAAATAATAATAATAATAATAATAATAAACGACGATAACCTTTTTACATACAGAATGGTGATAAACACCTGTAAATTTGTTCAAAGTAATGATAATAATAATAATAATAATAGTAATATGAGTAGTTGTAGTCACATCCTAGGATCGTTTAGATAATTCAGCTGACAACCAATCTAATCCTTCGTATAGTCCTTCACCATGAGTAGCACAAGCGCATTGTATATGCCACTAAATTAGAATTGTAATAGAAAAAATAAAAATAATAAATAATGCATGCATTAATCACATACACATACACATTAAAATACATGGCTATCTAGTACATTATTAAGCTATGTGTAATTTACCATTAATAATTATCACGTTGATAAGAGTTCACTGATCTTTACTGTGATAGTAAAAGTTTATTGAGATCAAAGATTGTTCATCAGAAAAAAAACAAACAGGAGTTGAGCACACCAACTAGTTGGCTTAGAAGTTTCATCAGGTCTGATGGGATCTCAGTATCGGTCTAGAAGTCTTAGTTGACTTATACCAACTTACATTACTCGTGGTGATATCAGTAAGAGGTCCCCAGATGGCAATTTGCTCTGCTTTATAGCTAGCTGTGAAACATAACAGCAAGTCAAAATGGAGAATATTCGTAGGTTACTATGATGGATTTGAAAATAAATACCTACTAAACACTGCTTATGCATGATGATACAATCATCGGATAATTAATGTTGAGGCTAAAAGTGTAACACGCAAAGGCGGTAAGTCTGTTCAATCAATCGACAGCAACGTAGAACTTCGTACATACGTAGGTACGTAAATCTGTTCACGTCTTCATCAGCCAATGTAACTGAGACATGAATTACACATATCCAACTACTGCCTATCACAATACGCGGTATTAGTTGGTGTACCAATATACCGGAATAAAGCTATGGACGTCCAAACCAAAATGTGGTATTAGTCCAGAGAGCTAATAACCGTTGGAGTAAGCTATTCATGCAAACTCTCTAGTTGGGGTTTGCACGGCTATTGTACTCAAGCGTCTAAAAACTTTAGGTAACATAACCCAGAATAATTCGAAATAGCATTGGCTTAATCCTGTCTCTAAATTACTTCATTAAATATTTCATTTCACTGATGCGCATTTTTCAGAATGATCTTTGTTACTTAATTTTTTCTATTGACATTAACGCTGTTACTACTGCTACCATTCTGGGATTTACCTTAGCAATTTCCTCTCGCTGTAGCAATAAACTCTCGATATTACGGTTTGCTTGATCACTCACTGGTTAATAAGAGGCATGAGAAATTCTATTTTTGGGGTCGTTCAAGATTGTTGATAAGGTGAAAATTTACCCATCATTCAATCCATTTTAAAATATCTAATCAAGCTTTCACAAACTGATTGGATCATGTCCACACAGTGAAATTGTACGTAGAAATACTAAGCGTATAGATTCATGTACTCGGTATTAAAGTACACTTCTAGCGTTTGGGTGGACTAATTGAAGGTAATGAATGAGTTCTGAAATCATAATTTAATAGTTGAACGTTGGGTGCTTTACTTTACACTTTACTGAAATAATAAATAAATGATTTCGAATTATGAATGGAAGATATTTACTTAGAGCTCTATATAAATATTCTAATATCCATTCAAAAGTTATAGTTTAATTAAGTAATCATTTTGATTTAATATCCACACCAACAATATGTGTGTGTGTTAGGGAAATGATTCAGTGTCAAAAATGCGGTGACGAAAATCAACTACTGAAATAGTTAAAATACCTCACTAATATCAGGTTATAAAAATACATTTACACTTTACAAATGATATTTGCTTGTATTGTTTTATATCAACAGTAAAAATCTACAAGAATGAAATTGGTTATCACTATTATAATTTGTGGTTGGGACATGTGCTGCGTATGCCTAACCAGCGACTGCCTCGTCGAGCTTTGTTTTGTAGTGTAGGAATAGGTTGGAAGAAAGCTAGGGGCGGCCAAACCAAAACATGGCAGGAATCCATGAAGTCATTGACGAGTGGACTTAGCCATGTCGGTAATTGTCGACTACCTGGTTGGGGTCCGCGAGATGATAATAATCGATGGCTAGAGACCTTGAATGATATGGCTCAAAATCGTTCGCAATGGCGCCGGTGCATTTATTCTTTGTGTTCTCTCAAATTCTAATCTTCTGGATTCTAAAACACCTCTAGTTTTTACTTTCTAAACTTATCTCATTGAATCATACTTCTTGAATAATATCTTCTAATTCTAACCTCTCGGATTACTTCTAATACCTTTACTACCTCTTCTACTATTGGATTTGAATTGACAATTATATCTCTGTGCTGATATGGTATGGCGACATGAACTGATGTACTTACGTACGAAGTTCTACGTTGCAACTGACTGACTGATTATAATTTGTCATACAATAGGCATTTTCGCATCATGCAATGCAATTAATTGTTTATAATACAGTGTATTTCATGCATGAGAGTGTCATCATAACCATCACAGATTGTTGCTGAATAGAAATGCTAACTAAATTTTTATCTGACATGATAACCAAAATAAGAGAAACAAGGAATAAAATAAGCTTTCTCAACATACAAGAACACATGCTAATGCATATAATCACTAATAGTTTCCTAAAGTGAATGTAGGAGGGAGCATTAAGAAGTACAAATGAACTCCGTACATTACAATTTATTTCAAAAGCTAAATCTGAAAAAAATGTTCTATATATTTAGGTGAATTTTCATTTGATAAATTTATCAGAAATAAGGCTAACATGAGTTTGTAATACATTATCTGGCATTAAAATGTCTACTTTTAAAATCGTTTACATGCATGTCTAAAATAAAACAGTACATGATTTTAACTTTTAATCTCATATTCCACAAATCAGTTTCGGAATTGTGGTGTTGTTTCATTTTCTGAGCTGGATGTTTTGGTTGGGAAGCTTTGATTGTTCTCCTGAACAAGATCATCAGGACAAACTTCAGATAGAAGTTTCAGAATTACTACAAAGTACAACAGTGGATGATTCTACTTGTTTTTTACTTTGTATAATTAACACCTTGTAGTATCTATCAAAAATCAGCTACATCACTTGGTGCGGTGAATGAAACTACAAAATTCTTGGATGTCAATAAAGTGGGAACATAGAATGAAGTGAAATATTCAACTTATTTACTTACAGTTCTATTTCGAATTTCGCGTAGACGTAACTTTTCAGCAACCTCTGCAGTGGACATAGCATTGGGTAAATCTTGTTTATTTGCAAGAACTAGAATAACGACATCTCGTAGTTCATCCTCTGAAAGCATTTTATTCAACTCATCAGCAGATTCACCAATACGATCACGATCGTTGCTATCAACCACAAATATGAGACCCTAAGATGTGCTGTAGAAGGAACGTTAGATTTACCTGTGTATTCTGGAAATAATGTCTCCACAAGCGTCGAATTTTATCTTGACCACCTACATCCCATACAGTAAAACTGATATTTTTGTACTCTACTGTTTCTACATTGAATCCAATAGTTGGAATAGTTGTGACTACTTCGCCTAATTTAAGCTTGTAAAGTATAGTCGTTTTCCCTGCTGCATCAAGTCCAACTGTAAAATCCAATAAAAAAACCTTTGTAAAATCTCGTCCACACCGGAAATTGAGAAAGAACATATGAACTCATTTCCACATTTACCAAGATGTTATCTCATTTTTCATAAGTTAGAAATTATTTTACTTTAACTAGGATTACGTAACGTCGAAATCCTCACATAATTTATGTGGTAAATAGTTACATATACACACTTGTGTACAGTTTTTAGGGTTCACATTACCTTGTTTAATTTTGTGATGCATAGAAAAGCAACATGGTGGTTATTGGCTTGCATTTAAGAAATTTTTTGATGTAACAGTCCTTCAACTTAATATCTACAATGCCAGTTATAAGGTTTTTACACATTGTTATCATTAGACTTGCTACTAGATGTAGACTACCTGGTTGGGACCCACGAGATGATAATCATCGATAGTTATAAGTCATGAAAGCCTGCTGTTTGAACGAATAGGCCAACCTCGCACATTATCTAATAGATACCACGAATGATGCAGTTGCGTACGTTTTGAGTTACGTACATTTTATTCAAGATATTAACCAATCGCAATGAAATGTACATATACAAAAGTACCCAACAAACTATTCACATCTACCAGGTTAAAAATGTTCTGTAACACGGTTATACGGTCAGTGTGATGTCAACACTTAAACTTTAGTTTGTTCTCGCTGTAATTAATTATAAGCAAGATTACTAAGTTGTATGTTTGCAACTTCCTGCTAAATCTAAGGAAGCTCCAAGAGATAATAGAGCCAAATAGACATATATGGCAACTTCTCCTAAAGTGAACTCCGTGACAGTTGGTCTAGCCTTATAAAACTGACATTACTTAAATGGAAAAACCTTGGATCTAGGGATGAAGAAATTCGACAGAACATGTTAGAGATTGGGACAAAAGCTATTTGTTGATATGGGTAACAATAGTGATAATCTTAGACGCACAAATCTACGACCAACTGCATGGATATTATAAATCAGCTCAAAACATCACATAACTTATGATTACATTTGTTAAACAATCGATAACAACTCAAGAAAAATTCTATCAACTACGGAATGGATTTGTGTAAAATGAACATATCCACAAACTCCAGAACATTCAAGAGTATAAATAACTGACGTCTACACTGGATGATTGGTTTGGAAGCTTTTAATTAAGCTGACTTAATACCACAGAAAGGAAAATGGGATATATGCCAACCATGTTATAATTGAAATATCTTTGATACATAAGAATAGCAAACAAAATACTAATTACTCTTCCTTACTCATTAGAATCCTCATAGATTTCTTCCCAAATAATCTATGGAAGAGAGCCGAGATTGTTAGACCCATGGTGTGTATAGGTAATGACGTAACGCAACAGCTTTAAAGGCCGTCTATTAAGCAATTCAAACAATTTCATGAATAAGGTCTTCGATAGTAATGACTTTATGTACTTAAATAGGGACTCGAGCATTTATAGATTTTCCAACTCCGTTAAAAACCCATTATTTCGGACACTAACGAATGCTTTGCTGAAGTCGTAGCTGCTTAACGGACTTGGCTGTGGCTTACAAGTGCTGACCATTCATGAATATTCCACCCCATCTCCAACTGAATTACCCCGTATTGTTGAAAAATTAATCACATCGGGACAACAAATCTCCTATCTAGAATTGACTTATATGGGTCCAGACATTCGCACAATTTATCTTAACAATAGCTAAATAATTATTAATGAGAACAACTAACCGGTTTCGAACTCATCTGCCTTCCGAATTGAACTAATGATGACATCATGTTAGCATTCATAAACTTCCATTTTATTCGTTACACAACATCACGACTGCAAAATATTTCACATCCTCTTCAAGAAGATTTGGGATGCGGAACATGTGCCATCAGATTTGAAAGAAGGATACCTGATCAAAATACCAAAGAAAGGCGATCTCAGCAAGTGTGAGAACTACAGATCCATCGTCCTTCTCTCGATATCAGGGTACTGTAAAACATAATGAAGGACTACGTAGGTGCCCAACTTCGAGATCAACGGGCTGGACTTCGTAAGGATCGATCGTGTACTGACCTCAGTCAGATCTCCATACTATAGTAATGTGTATTGGAATGAATCTTTATAGTATTAATGGCAGGGAACGCCAAGTAATGATTGTCGAATCAAAAATGGGACCGACTGCTAAGTTTGCATACCATCACAAATACCATCACAAACTATACTGGACAGCACTCCGAACGGTAACAATGTAAGTCATACTTTGCAAATACTTAGGCAAACTCCGAAGTTGTGATACGCATACATGATGTATTCTCATGAACATGTGAATTTTCCCAACAAGCTACAGAAGCAGGTACCTCCGTATGCAGGAACTTCCAGCAGTTAACTCCTATCATCATGTATACCCATTTAAGAATCCTACTCTCTATCGACCTAGCTCCATTAAATGACACTAACACATCCTACTGACGAATATCGCAGCAGTATGTTAAAACCGAAATCATTTAATAATAATAATAATAATTTATTCTCAAATAACAAACATGTTACAAGAGTCATGCCAACTTACAGGCAAGATCAAAATGTTAAGATTAGCAACATATTTTTTTTTAAACGGTATACAGTTACTGAAACATTTCACAAGATTCATTGTTTTCTTAAAGATGAAATGTACAATGCGAGTAATTGGCGCAAGTTACGAAGGTTGCGTTACGACAATCATCTTATGGACTGAGAAACGATTCATGGTACAGATGGGTTTTCATATAACAAGAATTGATGCGGTAAATGTACAAAGGTCTGGTTGATATTCATCAGCTAATGATTTCACATGTTCTTGGGTAGGGTAACCAAGTCTACTGCAAATATCCAGACTAATATATGTGTATTCGAATAAGGTTCTGGAAAAAGAGGAATAAAGAAAACGGGACGAGGAGCAGAACAGAAAATATTCTTGTTCAAAGCCGAACAACGGCTTTGCACATACGTTAATGGATAAAACAAAGGTATGTTTACCCAAACATTTTTAATATCAGAACACTTTACACCTGCGCTTATGTAGGTTAATGAAGACAATTCAGTAGTGGGATAACTAATGGGAAGTTAGTCGAATGAATAGAGGAAATTCAGAAGAACCATGTTGTTAGAAATAATGTTGATTTACAAAATATAATAAAGAGGCTCAGTGATATAATTTTTTGTTTTATTTATTCTATTTATTTTCAACTCCGAGGCTCAAGAAGTTATGAATGGGCTCTTTTTTAGTATAGTTGTCCAGACCAGCTTGTAATATTATTTCTCGGTAGGAAGTAAAAACCAGTGCAAGGTTACAGACATGGGTTGTAGACGAGGTTAACAAGGAAAAGTAACATCAATATCACTGATTTGTTACATCCTGCTATATCGTAAGGAGCCGTAAGCAAACAAAATGTTCTGCCCCACAGACATGGGTAGATTGAGGTTATCGCCCCACCGTCATGAATGCTGGTCAGATACACCACCCTGCCTCCTTTTGTGATGTTAGGCTCTCTTATGTTTAATGGTTAATTGTAAATAATGGTCTCTAGTCTACTCTCAATTTTTTTTTGTACACCTTATCGGAATTAACATTCTCTACTAGCTCCAACATTACAAGCAATCCAGACAACTTTGTCAGATAATATATCCACATAGCATATCACACTGATTTTAAGTAAACGAATGGTATAATTTGTAAGATGAGTCAATTAATAGGTAGTTTGGAAATAGGAAGGACAGGGAGCTGGAACGAGGAGAAAGTGAAAAAAAAGAGTTGAAATAATGTTAAAAATTAATAAGTAAAGCGATAAGTTGGTAAGCAGGCAAGGTGTATGGATGTTAATGAATGGGGTAAATAAAAATTAGTTAAACTGTTAATACTTAAATAAGAAGATACTCACAATGATACACGGTGTTTGAGTTCCTTGTAATTGACAGTAGTTGATCAGCATCTACAGGCTTTTCAATTTGTCTGTCTACTAGAAGTAAAAACTAAAACTGCTTTGAAGATATGAAAATAATAATCGAAATTTAAATTCAGAGAAAAGTCACGAGTAACACTTCAAAGGAGTAACCTATTACTGTTAGTAGGAGCAGGGGGATTCGTCTATCATTTCATGATACATGTATGGGTGGTAATGAGAACACAATGTGTTCATAGTCTATAATTCTTTTCTGAGTTTTATCTAAATATTTGGTGGACCATAAAAGAGTGCCTGGGGACTTTGTGTGAGTTCCGGGAATAGTCGGTATATCTCTTTAGAGTTTAGCAACAGCATGACTAGTTTCTTGAACTTAGTGATTGTGTCACAAATACGGATAGTAATTGGTAACCTGTTCCACAGTAGACTGTATCGTATTACAAAGAAATTACAACGCAATAATTTCTTGTGTTTTGCCGTTAATAGTGTATATGCGTTGTTTCTAAGTCTGTGGGCAGTGCCGTGGTTCATAGTTGGGCGGTATTTTACGAACGAAAGACCATTTATTAGTTTATAGAGGAGCATTAGGTTGTTTTTGATACGACGGCGCCATAGAGGTTCTAGGGAAAGATGCTTGCATCTTTCTGTGTAGTCGAGGTTATGGCTCAATCCGAGCAGTCGCCGGGTGAAGCTTTTTTGTACATTTTCTACTCTCATTTTGTCCATGATATTCATGTTTGAAAATATGAGTGAACAATATTCAAGTGTGGGCCTTATACAGATTTTGAAGAGAGTAAGCTTAGCTTCACTTGTGAACAAGTTCTTGTTTATAAACCCAATTAGTCGTCTAGATTTAGAGATAATATTTGAGGCATGTTCTTCGAATTTTAGGCTTTTAGAGTAACTAATACCAAGGTCACGCGCTGGTATGAGTGTCTGAACCCTACATTTTTGTAAGTAGAGTGGTGTATCAAGGTGACGCTTGCTAAAATGCATTATGCCACATTTGTTGTGGTTAAACGGCAGTTGCCATGTCTCGCTCCAGGTACTTAAGTTATCAAGATCACTCTGAATCTTAGCTATATTTTCGTCCAGATCTTCACGCTTATAGCTGTATACTATTTTCAGATCATCAGCATATAAGTATGCTCTTCCAAATTTTATAGTATTACATATGTCATTTATGTACATTAGAAACAAGAGTGGACCTAAGACACTTCCCTGGATAACCCCACTGGTTATTGGTCTTGGTGATGAAAGACAGTCGTTGTACTTTATCATTTGTTGTCGCCCATTTAGGAATGAAGCTAACCATGAGTGTAGTGGGTTGATGATTCCAAATGACTTCAGTTTAAGTAGAAGCCTTTTGTGTGGGACTTTATCAAAAGCCTTTTTAAAATCGAAGAAAAGGACTGATACCAGAAGCCCTTTGTGATATCGTTGAAATAATCTAACAGACATGTATCACACGACCTGGACCTCAAGAACCCATGCTGTGAGGTCGATATCAGATTGTTACTAAGTAGATGTTGTAGTAACTCTGCCTTAACTATTTTCTCCATGACCCGAGATACTACCGAAGTTATGTTTATGGGTCGGTAATTTTCAACGTTCGCTGTACGCCCAGATTTTATAGTGGGGATGATATGTGTAGTCTTCCAGTTATTAGGGTAACACTCTGTGGAGAGAGATATAGTAAATAGTTTGAGAAGAATAGCACTCAGATCATTGCTACCATTTTCTAGCATGCTGGCAGGGATGCCATCTGGTCCTTCAATGTAAGAGTGCTTCAGTGTAGTAATCGCCTTAGAAATGTTCTGTACACTAAATTCAACACTGGCGATTTCACAGGAAGGAGTCTGGGTCAGGTGTGACTCATTTATTGAGTTTTCGTTTGTTAATGTGGCATAAAAATGTTCGCTAAACAACTCTGCGATACGTTTAGGGTCGTCATACACTTGATTGTCCTTAATAAATATGCTCCCTCCTTTCACTTTGGAGCATTTGAGTTTATTCCGAAGGAGTTTTATGAGTTCAGAGGATTGATTGTTCAGCTGAACAGCACGCATTTCCTGTGCGATTGCCTTTTTAGTACGTGTTATTTCTGCCTCGAGACATATTTCAGTCATCGTTACTAAGGAGGAGAAGTCATTACAGTTATTAAATCTGGAAGCATGTCTTCGAAGACGTTTTCATATATGACCTGGCATAAATAAGTCTTTAGGAATTCTGGGTCTCCAGGATTCTAAAGGTGCAAATTTGTTGAATATGCTATTTTTGTTGTGATAAAATACATTTATTAGTTCATCAGTATTGTTTGCAGTAAAGTAGTTTGTCCAGTCAATGCTTCTTGGGCAGTTACTGAAGTTTGACCAATCAATCCTACGAAAGTCCCTACGAAG